GATTTTAGAAACCCCTTGAATCTTACATCGGTAAAAAATGTGAAAATTGTGGTGGACAAAACCTTTTCTGATGGTGCTGACCTTTTGCTAAAGCAGCTTCAAGAAATGCGACCTATAGTTATACTTAAAAAATGGCTCTACAGTTAAGTGTAAACTGACAGGCTGAATGTTTCCATTACCAACGCTTAGAACTCAGGATTAGAACTGCAACAAGCAGGTTGCAGACTGGTTTGTAAAATCATGAATTAAAAAAGTCATTTTGCATAGTTAAACATTCGACACTATCATGTTCCTCGGTTGGAACCTACTAGATAAAAGGTAAATATTGTATTATGATTTTAGTTTTAATTTTGTAAAACAGTTTTAATAAAGCCTTTCATTTGGCTCTTTTATTAGATGAATTGTACACTTAAGCTGTCCTTTTTAGAGTTTCCATGTTAAAGTGTAGGAAGATTGAACTTTAGAGCATGTTTGTAAATCATGAAGCTTCTCTTGTCGAATTAAGTTGCCTTTGCAAAAAAAAAAGTATAAAAATGACACCCAAGTCATGGAATTTCAATATATCCCCATGGGACTTTTTGCAACAAAGCCTTTCTGTAAAAATTAGGACTGATTTTATTTCTTCCCATTAAAGTGTTAAGTATTGTCTGTGGTTGGTTGCTCTCGTACACTTACCATGTAAATTGTAAGTTGTAGATAAGTTTTGTGTATATATTTATTCTTTGGAAAAACTACTGCCACCAGCAGTCTGTAAGTCACACCTATTAAATTCAGTTTTATTACAGATTTCATCTATTTTTATTTTTTGTTTTATGTTTACTGGTATTTGTCACTTTCAAAATTAATTTTATAAGTATGTGACTAAAACATTATTTTTAGGTATCTCATTTTAATCCTCAAGGACAATAATATATGAATCTAAAAAATCAGATATAAATGGATGAGCTCTTCCACTAAAAAGTACTAGCTGTAAATGTGAGTATACTGTAAGTAGTCAGGCCATCTGACCAGTATGCATTTGCATGATCAGTGAGATACTGTTACTTGGATACTGAAACAAAAGCAAAAGTACATCCTTATCAAAGGTATCTACCAAAATATGCAGTGTAATGTCTAAAATCACAGTACTTACATTTTTGAAGTTATAGTTCACCTTCCAAGGCAACCACTCCTTACAAAATAACATTACAAGAAGGAATGGACCAAAACAAAAACAAGAGTTGCATTGCATGTGCTGGAAACATCAAATGTGTTCCCATCTGATGCTGTTGAACAGGGGTGTATTGTCTTTTTATAGATGACACCGAATTCTTAGCTTTAAGTTTCTCCATAGGCTTTGGAGGCATTGACCAGCAGTTCCAGTGCACTTGACAGTGTCCAATACACCGATGAAAGCTTATCAGTAATTCTTCCTGATGATCGCTTTGTCCACCACGGTATCTACTATGGTATTGGGTATTAAGGTGGGATAACTTGGTTTTTGCTTTGTTTTCTCATAGCATACAGTAGCTACGTTGTAATTTTACTTTTTCCATTCTACCGTTTGTTTTCTCTAACCTTGTGTACATTGGAAAGGGCTGGGTCCACATTTTGAAACAACACAATTCCTTGCAAAGCATAAGTTCCTTTTAAATATCTTATTTGTGTTCTAAATATGTAGATCTGTAAGTAGAAATTTGCTGATGTGTATTCTGTATTGAATATGAATATCTGACCTTCCCCTGTCAAGCTCCAGAATGAAGTGATGCTCAACAAGTGATCTAGACACGAGTCAGCACTTTGGTCCAATAGATAGCAGAGGTCACCCCCCCCATCCAACCCTCGCCTTTCTTTTAAGAGTGTAGTGCTTTGTGCACATACCATGTGTTTCTGGGGCAGTCAAAATTATGGGGGCACCTAGTTTTTTGTATTTTGTTTTTTTGTTTGTTGCCTTGTTTGTCTTCCAGGATGACAGTTCCCACATCCACAGAGTACATGTGGGCACCCAGTGCTGTGATGAGCATGACTCTGATGTCATCAATACAGCATGTAGTAGTCTTCTCATGTCACCAGATCTGAACCCAATCCAGCTTTTGTGGGATGTTCTGGAGCAATGGGTGCGGCAGCATTTTCTACCTGTAGCAACCAGGTCTGGGTTGATTGACTCTTCTCATTAAGGAACGGTGCCTCCCATAATCCAGAGATGGATTAAGCATTCTTTCTGTTTAACTCCAGACCCCAGTAGATTGATTGCTCCACCGCACACTTTGCTCCAGGCCGTACTGGCTGCACACTGTGGCCAAACTTCCTATTAAGTGACATTTCTTTGTTTTGGCCATTACCTGTAGCTACATGTTACCTCCTCCTCATTACCGAACGCAGTGAACAGGATTTTCATATGTTGCCACAATTCCGTTGGAGATGGAATCCGATTGTCTGCAATTATGACAGAACGTAAAACAGTTCAAAACAAAAACGATACATGTTTTTGAAAATGTCCCATTTGTAAAAATGGAATGCAGTCCACTGGCAGCAGATGCAGAAAAACTGGTAGTCGTGCAAGCAAATATTGCTATGGCAGAATAATCATGCTGTCCAAGAAACATCCAAGAAAGTAGATTGTTTGGAAGTCCAAGCCTTGTTTTTTTTATGAATGTTCACCTTGGAAGAGCTCATTGGTTCAGAAAAGGTGCTGTTCGGTAACTTGAAAGGGAAAACATCAACAATGTTGTATAAATTATGAAGATTAGCCTGTGACTATAAGAGATAAGATCACTTTATTAGCCATATACACTTTCTTGCATTAGGAATTTGTCTTTTCGCAGACCCCAGCTTGCTCTCCATGAGACACACAGACAGGGAGAGAAGCTGGGGGTAAGAGCGCAGGGTCAGCCATTTATACAGCGCCCCTGGAGCAGTTGGGGTGAAGGGCCTTGCTCAGGGGCCCAACAGAGTAGGATTCCTCTGCCGGCTGCGGGATTTGAACTGGCAACCCTACAGCTACAGAATAAATTCTTATTTATTGTTATTGTCATCCTGTAAAGCACTTTGAGAAGCCACCTTTAAAAGTGCTATATAAAGTTTATTATTATTAATATATTATTACAGGCTCAGATCCTCAGCCACAGTGCCACCGCTCCGCCTATGGGCACTAAGCCAAATTACAAGGTCACAATAACAAAGGAAAGATGTTGATACATTAAGCAGTTCTAATCTTTCATCAAAACAGTAAACTATGTGAGAAGACAATCAGGTTTGGGAGAATAAAAATTGTGTATTTAGATAGAAGTTGATAACCTTAAAAACACTTCTTTGGGTGCAAAAGGGAGACGCAATAAAAGTACAGTAATTTTATTGACTTACAGAATAATTATCAAGATTTTCATAAGCTTTTCCTGTATTTCACTAAAATATTCCAGTTATCCCCAGAATTTTAATACCAAATGTGTGAATGTCAAAGATCTGCAGAGTCTAAATTCATTACTATAAGCAGCATATTATAATTATAATTATTTAACATTATTTCCTTTTTTTGTCCTGTGACCTCTAAATCTGTGGTGAATTGTATATCATAGTTAGGGTTTCCTGTATCTATAAACACATTGTACAGATGTACTTTATTTGTAAAACATTGGTAAGTGGGGCTAAAAGGATTTTTATCGGACACCTCACCAAAAAAGATTCCATGCGTACCAGTTGATACAGCTGGGGATTTTATTGGAGCAATCTGAATACCCGAGGTTTGAACCCACACTTCATGCCATTGTGAGTACAGAGCTTTAATTACAACTCCACACTGCTGCCTTTAGTTATAGTATCATTTCAAACTACATCTTGGGCTTTAGTCTGATGGCAAAGGCCAAGGCTGTTTGCATTATTTAAGCAAATATTGGTTCATCTTTTCATGCTGAATGAAAATATGCCTCTATGTACAATATCGTGAGAAACAGGACTACAGAAACATTTCTTCTTCCAGCAATGGATGTTGACTTTTTTACGTGGCTTATAAAGCCAAGGCCATAGTTCTTTTCAGTTTTTCAACACTTCCTGCTAAACTAAAAGTTTCAGAATCCGGTTCATGTTTTAGTCTGTCACAAACCTTCAAGTGTTCGCTTATTGCATGGGGAAATATGATAGGAGCCTTAGAAAGAGGATGCTATGTCATAGAAAGTAAATTAAAAAGAACACTTGATATGATTGTCTAAAATAGAAATTGAAGAGCTGTCCTTATCAATAATACTGCAATTATCAATAACAATAGTATGTAGTTCTTTTGAACATCATAAAGTCTGTATGTCTTTCTGTTGTATTCTAGTATTCATGTGAATAACTGTGAATCAATTGGGTTATCTCCTTTTCAGAGATGACATTTGCAATGTGTTGCTTTTTCCCCCATCTTCCTCTGTTGTGCAGCATCTCAAAAGCCTACATGTGCCTGATCACACCTGTTGAATTTCACCAGAAGGGCCAGCTGAAGAACAGAACATTTCGTTTTAAAATGGTGTGTAAAATGAAGACTCTGGGACAAAGATAACTGTCCTTCCATTTTCAGAAACTGCTTTATCCTTAGAGAGGGAGCTGGAGCCCCAGCCAGCAGGAACAGGATGTGAGGTGGGCCTGCACACTGCACAGGCCAGCAGTTCGTGGCAGGGCACACACAACGATAGTAACACACAGCTTTGAAAAATAAACCTGGCACACACAAGCAGCATTAAGATTTGAGGTATGAGAAAAAGCAGCAGTGCCATTTCTACAAACAAATGAGTCTTGCACAGCAAGTGAGTATTGTAACCGATGGGAACAAGTAAAGGTTTATTCCGTGCTGAAAAGAGAAGAAAAATAAGCACAATATTTTGGCTGTGGAGCCTTCTTCGGGTGTGGTCTTCTTCACACCTGAAGAAGGCTCCACAGTCTAAATATTGTGAGATTCTTGTAACTGATAGTATTTGTTACATGCTTAATACCTGTCATTGTTTGTTTTTTTTTAATTGCTGAATCTAAATTACTGGACTTCAATTTGCTGTTATTTGCAGCTGTTTAATAAGTTGTATGATAAATACAGCCTCATGCTCAATTTTACAGGTAAAGATCTTCATGTTTTCTGAATGAATGGTCTTTCATATTCCATCTTCTAACAGCTTTATCCAATTCAGAGTCCCGGGGGAGACGGAGCCTGTTCTGGCAAGTGACTGGCGCAAAGCAGGATAGCCCAGCCACCAGTCCATCGGCTCTGCCATACCCCTTTCTTAATCATCCTCATGGTGATTTACAGCTGGCTGAATTCAAGGCTGGTCTCAAAGCTGGAACATTTTGAAGGGTGAAGAAGATCCAATTAAATACAAAAGTTAAATAAGGCAGATTCGGGAAGAGCCATGCAGTTTAGTTTCTTAAGATGATTTCTCAAAAGGGGTGAGGGACAAAGGGTTGGAGCACGGGAAGAGTCCTACTTGGTGATTAGGATGGTCTCTTTTAGCCTCCAGCCCACTCTTGCAGCTTATGTTTACAATGGCACTCATTCACATAAAGAAACGTCCAGCAGAAAGGATATATCCAGTTTAACATCAAGAAATCAAGTCATGTAAATGCTGGATCTTGAGGGCGTAACAAGTTGAACTTGTCAGCCTATGTTAGAAATCTAAGGGGGAAAAAAATCACTCTATTCATTTGACATATTTTAGATTGGACATAATTCTGCTGATTTCTTATAAAGAATATTACTAGTAGGGTTTTAATGTAATTAAAAGCATAAGAAATCTGTATCATGAATGGTCTTTAAGGTTTTCTGCAATTAACAAGGTTTTATCCTTTGTCAGGTATAACTTAAATTATGTGTTAACATTTCTAATGATCGATTTGACACGTAACCTTACCGAAAACCAACATTAATAAATCGTATTAGAAAATGTATCACCCGGTACAATCTTATGTATCATCTCGTTTTTATTGAGGCTGAATTATGCAGTGGCACCACTGTAGCTGTTGGCCATTCTCTTCCTGTTTGCTGTTCAGATTCGCTGTAGTTTGTTTCCACTCCGCTGAACTCCTCTAATGACAACAGCAGAATAGGATCACGATATTCCAGAGGAACTGCTTTCAAAAGCCACGAAAGTCATTTTTTATGAGTACTGCAACATTGTGCTGATTAAGGAAGTTGCAGAGCGGCAGAGTGTGTTGCTCGAATTTGAGCAGGACGTAAAGACAGAAATTTCACGAGTGAACAGATGAGGGCAGGCAGGTCCTCTGTGCCTCCCGTTCGTCATGATGGGTTCTTGACAGCTTCGTGTTGTCTGGCCTAAGGAGACGCCACAGCCCTTCCCCTGAATTCCTGCTTTAGCCTGTCAGTTGGGCACACACAAAACAATCGCTGGTAACACCTCGTGCGTCAAGACGTTTTTTTAACCTCGGGTTGTTCAGCTGTTCGAGTCTGGGCTCTGTGCGAGGGGCTCTGCGGCTGTAGAGCCGTTGGCTCCTGGGTGCTGCTGGCACTGGCAGTGGACCTTCTCCTCCAGCGGGACACAGCTCTTGGAAAAGCATTTCCAGCACTGCTTGGAGATGATGTACAACATCTCGCACACGTTGAGGACGATGCACAGGACCGAGGCGCAGCCCATGATGTAGAGGAAGATCTTCTTCTCGGTGGCTTTGGAGATGAAGCAGTCCACCGTGTTGGGGCAAGGGGTCTGATCGCACTGGAGGAGCTTGGGAACGTCAAAGCCACTGTACAGGAAGTAGAAGGCCAGCAGCGAGCCCACCTCAAAGGCGGTCTTAAAAATGAGGCTGATGAGGTAGGTGCACCACAGGCCACCGTCGATCTTTCCCTTGTCCATGTAGAGCTTCTTCTTGCACTTTCTTTCTCGGTGCTCCCGGTAGGCCACGTGCAGGGCCACCAGGAGGGACGGGGTGGAGACCATGATGAGCTGCAGGGCCCACAGCCGGGCCTGGGAGATGGGGAAGAAGTAATCGTAGCACACGTTTTCGCAGCCGGGCTGGTTGACGTTGCACACAAAATCCTTCTGCTCGTCCTTCCAGACCTGCTCCGCGGCCGCCACGTAAATCAGTATCCGGAAGACGAAGACGATGGAGAGCCAGATCCTGCCTATGGCCGTGGAGTACTTGTTCACTCCACTCAGCACGTTTTCCAGGAATCCCCAGTTCATGGTCGCTTTCCCCGAGGAGCCTGCACTGTAGAGGGGGGAAAGCAAAGGGTGTTGGGTCTTCTGCAGTCGCCATTTGTACAATCTGTCTGGTGGGCTGTGGGCCCGCTTTGAATGATTGGTCCAAAAAAAAGATACTATTGTTTTCCGTTTTTAAGATTAGTTCAGAAACTTTATGATGGGCATTACCGAATGCAAAAGCCCATTTAGCGCTTAGAAATCTGCTTTTAAGTTTAATTTTGCAGTGTGTGCGTGTGATGGTTGAGATTCTCAGCAAAGATAGATTTTAATCAATGAGTTTTAGGTAACCCACGCATTTATGAGTTACAATTTACATTTTATGAAGATTATATTGCAATTTCTTTAAAAACTTCCTTGGAAACATTAAATGAAAGACTGCTCTACGATCATCGTTAAACTTATCAGAGTATGTTTAACTGCAGTATTCAAATAAAAGACTGGAAAACTAGTTTTTTATGGGGTGCACATTGTTTAAATGATAGGGAAATCAGGTACTTTCAAGTAAATGTTACCACAGTTCAGTAACTTGCTTAACTACAGTTATGTTTCTATAAAGACTTAGTTTTTATCAAATAGGTAATGAGATGCAAAAATGTTTCTCAACACCCGATATGAGGATTTTAAACAGCATGGTCCATTACTACCTACTGTAATTGCAAAATAACTTATTTCACAGCTATGAAATATACCAATATTTCAATTATATTAATCATGGATATAATGTACCACTTGCCTCATCATTATCTGTAAATTGTTTATAAACCAGATTTGTATGAAAGGTTTTAATATAACATACTTATACGTTGAGAGAAATCGAGAGATATTACAGTAATACTATCTTAATTTAAATTAGGGGACATTCCAGGTTACTTTGCTATTTCTGGGTATACATGCAGAGTGCATATTACACAACCCCTGTTGTATTAGAGAGAGACACGTTCGTTGTGTCTGTGGTTTTACATCACTTACTCGCTATTTTCTATTACATATTTCAACTAGGTACGGGTTTAAAACTCGGTCATTCCACTTCGAAAAAATATAAGCCCATAGAGTTGTTGTTATTATTCATAGAATATTATTTGGCCACCATCCTTTTGGTAACTCTCGTTCATCTCATTTTAAAAAGATAGAATGATTATACTGAACAGTAATTATTACATAATGTGTCTAATATGAAGGCGACGTCTGCAAGATTCTCACATTCCCTTATTTTTCACTTATCGCGAATGGTCTGTTCCGTGAAAAACGAAAATAACACGCAGTTAATTTCCAGAGAAAGTGAAGATACACTCTCAAAAGGTGAATGCAACGCATAAACATTTCAATGCGCAGAAACATGCAAAATTATCGTCATAAGAGCCTGAAGAAAAATTCGACTTACCTGTGGCCACTAGTGAAACAATTTTGTTTTCGAGTTTTGGTAACGAGAGAGGTTTTATCTCTATGCGGTATCTACAGCCCAGGTCTCAGGTGTTATCTGATGCTCCTCTTTGCCTGTCAAATACACCTGCCTGGCACTAACGCCAAACCACACCTTTTTCGGTCGTCAAGGGGAGGGGGAGACATACTTTTTAAAGGAGCACTGTCTTTTTTGGTGTCTGAATTGCAAAAAAAAAAAAAACAGCAGGAATATTTACTCTAAATAGGTGCCGGGAAGAAATATAGAGCCGTTGGAAAAGCAGGTCAAAATCCATAAGATGTCTCAAGCTTTACCTCTAAGATTTGAACTCTTTCGCGCATTAACCCTAGCTCTGAAACAAGTGAGACTCCCGCATTCTACATCTCTGCATTGTATTTATTTGCGACGCCTCCACACCCTATGCGCCGACTCCAATCACAGGCTGTCCCTGGCGGTCAAGGATGACGGTCTTGCAAGAAAACCAAGGTGACAGATAAGGCCGATACAGGATCCGCACTCTTCTCTGACAGGTCGAGCAGGTCTCGTACCGCGCAATCCGGTCATGGGGAGCGCAAACTACATTAACCATCTACAAAGTTCGCGTTCCCGGTGAATCCTACAGACTTAACCCAGAGGAAGAGATCTGTGTGGTTTAAAACTGTGGTAACTGGGGTCCTTCGAGTAAACCTCAACGAAAGCCCCTTGACAGGAGTTTCAGTTTTCTGTATATCGTCGTGAATGAGTCACGAATGACCGCTTGGAAGTTTTCACATCGTTCGTTCCCCTTGAGTGTTAATAACATTTATCAAAACGCATTATTCTCCACTGCAATTTAAGAGGCGGTCATGCAACTGGTGTCTGCTACAACATATGAGCGACAGGGCTAATAAGAACCATGAATCTGGTTTGTTTGTGATGGAGCATTGTGCGCAAGAAAACGGGGTGTGAAAGCGGTGAAATTGCAATGAGCAGGGTGCGGTCTGTAATTGTCATTAACAATACAGTCACCAAATAGCAACTGACTGCCTAATGGAAGAAGAAAAGAATGAAAATGAAAATGTACTTTTAAAAAGTCCAGGTGCGTGCAAAAGCAAATGAAATGGTTTCTATTTGAGCAGCTGGCGCACCTGTCGGTGCCAAAGCCCCAACACTCCGCGCTCATGCGGAAAAAAAACAAATAGGGCTTAAATTATCCAAACCATTGATTTAGTTTCGTTTCAGATGTGAACTTGTGGTGTGATCCATACAGTATACGCAGGAAATAAAACTCCGGAGTACAATGACCGTATCGTCCTGCAAGCAGGGAGAGACGTGGTTTTGAAAAGACAAGCAAACCAGCGTGAAGTGCAAAACAGAATAGTTATTTTTCAATGGATTATGGCATTGTACCTTCTTCAGCTCTCTTTTTGTAATGAAATAACAAAACTGACATGTGTATGAATACCGTATGTATATTTTACCAATATGCATAGATGTGTAAAAAACACATGGAAATGCAATTTGAGTATCTACTGTACATGTATTTCGGCCAGGCCTCTCGGGTACAGAGGTTCTCCAGTTCTGAAGCTGTAGAATGTCTGCTCTGGACTAATATGCTTGGATATTGTCAAACATGTGGATGAGTGTCTTTAAATATTAACAACACGGAAAGATGTGTCATTGATCTCGTATAATGATTTATTAATAAACTAGCTGCAAAGAAGTAAGTTTATTGTCATCAAGCAGCTTAGCAAAGTATAAATGTAATGTAACATTAAATTATCTGTGAATTGATGTAAAATTCAATTACATTGATAGCTAGAGAAAATTACAAGGATTAAATTAGTTTGAACTATTTCAAACCAAATCGTGATATAAACCGTGGTAGAGAGGACCTTAATACTTAGAATGCTATTAGCATGCTCTGTCCCTTTTCTTACAGTACTTTCCCCTGATAAAATGTGCCAAGTTTCATAATCAATGGAGTTGGAACTTGCAGGTGTAATATTTTACAGTCCTTAACATCCCCAATTATATTCTCATGTAGTTTACTCGTCGTGATGAGGAAGAGGAAGAAAGTGAGCCGTGTTTGCTATTTTGAAGAAAAGCTCAAAACAAAACTGACAGGACTGAAAGAAACCGGAAGGGAACAAAAGCAAGTAATATTTTGTGTGAAGTAAGAAAGAAAAGCAGAATCTAAGGTTACTTTGCCCTGTATTCTGTGAAAGCGATTTTGATTCTTGTTTCTCACCGTTGTATTTCTGAGTCGGTTGAGAGTAATTCATTTTTTTAATGTGGGAATCTTTTTAATTGGACTGTTCTACATTACTACGAATAATAATTGCTTACACTATATAAAAGTATATAGCACTTTTCTGGACACTCCACTCAAAGCACTTTACAGGTAATGGGGATCCCCTCCACCACCACCAGTGTGCAGCCCCACCTGGATGATGCGACAGCAGCCATAGTGCACCAGTACTCTCACCACACATCAGCTATCAATGGGGAGATGAAAAGAACGATAAAGCCAATTCAGGGATGAGGGATTATTAGGAGGCCATGATGGGTAAAGGCCAGGACACCAGAGTAACACCCTTACACTTTTTGAGAAACACCCTGGGATTTTTAATGAGCATAGAGAATCAGGACTTCAGTTGTATGTCTCATGTAAAGGACAGCGTCCCCATCACTATACTGAGGCATTAGGACCCACACCGACTGCAGGGTGAGTGCCCCCTACTGGACCCTCTAATACCTTTTCCAGCAGGAACCTTAGTTTTTCCCAGGAGGTCTCCCATCCAGGTACTGACCAGCCTCACACCTGCTGAGCTTCAGTGGGTTTCCATTGGTGAGTTGCAGGGTGATACAGCTGCTGGCTATAAATGGTGGGACAAACTTCATGGGAAGTTGATGAAGTTCTTGGAAATACAGTAGCAAACGATTGAAATTGAATACAATAATGAGAGGAAATATCGTGTCATGACCTAGTTTTCTGTAATAATTAAGATTTTACACAAATAATAAAAATCTTTAAATAATGTAGACTGTAGCACTGACAGCAAATAACATCCTAAGTGGTAAAGGTACCTGTTTACCCAGAGCTCCAGAACCTTGTGATTTTTCACATTTTAAACTCTCCTTTCTTTTGTTCCACACTCCTTTCAGTGTGGTAACAAAATAATAACCACATGACATCAACATAAAAACATAAAAATATTAATTTACAACAATTTACACACAACCTCCATGACTATACAGATACTTACAAATCTGTGAGTGCTGCCTCTGACAGAAACAGAAGAACACAATTTCCCCTGTAACTGAGGCGTGCATACCTTAAAAGGGAAAGAGGGAACCAGTGTCTCATGAAATAAAAATCCTACTCAGAGCTAAAATACTCCCTAAATGGACGCTTAACAATTGTAGAACGAATGGAAACCTTTTTCCTTATTCCAAACAATACATCACTACACAAGTAAGTTACATATTATAACCTTGCTGATATCACAGATAGGAACTCAGCATTTCCACTACCATAATAAGTCAGCAGTCCTTTTCATAAAGCCATAAAGAGTTGGTCTCTGTGCTCACAGTATATGAACATGATCTAGTCTTTGTTTCGCCAAAAGAAGTCTCTCGGTGTACTAATGCCTCTTTTGCTCTCACTTCTGTTTCTGTTATTGTTCATCTTGATTTCTGCATGGCCTTTTGGATGCTGATTGAATTTATCAGATTAGTTATCAGCAATTGGATCCATGCATCCATTTCCCAATACGGGCTCACAGGTGAGTCAGGGCCTATTCAGGCAGTTGTGCAAACGCTTAAGGAGTGCCCATCATTTACTTGCAGAATGGGATACGGATGATAAGACATTTAAACATTCTGATACCATTCAACCCATAACCATGTAGAAATGATTGGCATTCATCAAGGTGTGAGGAACCAATAATTCATATATCCCCATGGTACAAGCCTGAAGGAATAACCATCCAAAACAGTACTGTTAGGTCAGTAAACAGAGATGTCACGACTGTAGTCCCTCCCCCTTAAGGGTGCTCTGGCTCTTTCACATTGTAGTTGATTTTCTGCACCTGCTCCCTGTTCCAGCCCACCTCAAAAGCCAGATGCTCACTCTCTTCCGGGTTCTGCATTGGAACATGGACGCCCGGAGGCCCACCTACCACCGAGTCACCCTACGCCCGCGGCTCGAGGGCATAGGCCTCCTATCGGCGTCCCGAACCAGCCGAGTCCAGGACCTGGAGCACCTGGTCCCGTTACCCATTTTTTATTCCCCGTCCTTGCACCGGATCCCATTCCAGCTTTTAACTGTGTTTTGTTTCATCTCCTGGATATCCTGTTTTTTGGACTTTTAGACTTCGCCCCGGTTTTCCCCCTGGACTCCTTCGGATCTGTTCGCCTGGACCACGCCCCCCTGAGCACCAGTGCACACTCGTCACGCCCCCCTGTTCGTCTACCAGCCCAGTTCCTCGTCTCCTCCCCGTGTCTGTTCACCCCCTTCCGGATTGTGCTGTCTGCATAGGGTCCTGAAAGACACTTCCTAACATGAGATAGGGAAAATGGCAGGCAGGAGCGGAACCAAGAAAGTTTGGAACCCTTAATGTTGGTTGATCCTTGTGTATTTTAGCAAGAAAAAACATAATTAGTTCTTCATGAAAGTCTAAATAAAGACATAACAGTATCTAGATGATTTAATTAAAAGAATGATCCAGCCGTAAATGAGTTTGTGAAGGAGTGTGTAATAATTTAGATTTAGTAACTGGTTGCACCCCCTTGAGCAGCAATTACTTCCACTAGATATTTCACGTAACTGTTTAGCAGTGTTTCACGATGGCTTTTAAGAATTTAGTGACATTTGAGGGATTCCTTCGCATGAACAGTTTGCTTCAGGTTCCACCATAACAGTTCAATGGGATTTAGGTCCATTCTTTGAGTTGGCCAGACCAGAATGCAAATTGTCTTCTTCAGACATTCTAAGGTACATCTGCTTTTCTGATTAGCTTCTTTGTCTTTGTTCTTTTTGTTTCTTCTGGGCCCTCCTCTATCCTCTGGGCTATCTGAACCATTCCCGTTCATTCTTTTCTTGATGGCTGAGGCATGTACACTGACGTTAGCCACAACCATAGAGGCCTGGAGATCCTTAGATGCTACTCTGGTCTTCTTTGTGACTTCATACTGTAGATGATTTCCCATGTTCCTCTTTAGGATGACTGGTCCTGGATATGATCACTGTAGTCTTGAATATTTTCTATTGGCAATATCACTTTATTGCAATTTCTTGTATTAGGAATTTGTCTTTTCACATACCCCAACTTGCTCTCCATGAGACACACAGGCAGGGAGAGAAGCTTGGGGTCAGAGCACAGGGTCAGCCATTGTACAGCGCCCCTTGAGCATTTGGGGTTTAGGGCCTTGCTCAGGGACCCAATGGAGTAGGATTCCGCTGCCTGCCATGAGATACGAACCGGCAACCTTCCAGTCACAGGCGCAGATCCTGAGCCACAGAGCCACCAGTGTATAGATATGATCAAATATTTTGAAATGATTTTCTCCAGGCTCACGAGCATGAACTTTTCTGAGGTCCTCTGAAATCTCTTTTTAACATGGCACGATATGTTTCTGCTAATCTGTATGGTAAATACCAATCTCAAAGTTTCTAACCATTATGAACAGTAGATTCCTGACTGCCCAAATGCAGTCCTTGTTGACTTGTTTCCCAATTGTTTAACCATCTGATTATAATTGCCCCCTTAATTGTGCTATGTAAACTGGAGGTTCTCTTATTATTTCACATACACTGATTTTTTAATCATGTTTTGTACTCCATATACCACTGTGTCTCAAAGAAATAAATTGTTAAATATAAGCCGTCTTGAGAAAGGCTATTTAAGAAAAGATATTCTTTGATACAAAATAAAAAAATATTTGGTAAAACAATATTTTAACTGAAGATCCTTTCTCAACATTCTACTGTACATAACAAATTAAATTCCGTGTAAGTAAATGTAAAATTGTGCATATTGGTAAGAAAAATATAAGAATTATGCCATAGAAGAAACATAATTAGAACACACAGTCAGAAAAAAACAAGTGGACAGTCATTGATTCATTTCTTTCGGCGTCTGCTTTTTTACAGCAATGCAAAAAATAAAAGGTAAAATGGAGTACATACTGTAGTAACACAGCAAAGGGTGTAAAATACAAATCCATAGCAGTCATCTTTTAATAGGTAGGTCCTGAGTAAACCACACACGTGCAGTCATGAGATAGTAATCAGTATTCTTTATTTACAGTGCAAGGAATGAATGTAAACCAAAAAACACATAAAGCAAAAGCCTAAGGTTTTCCTTTAACATCTGACTTTTCCTTTCCCTCTCTAACAATAACCAGGCAGTTTAGCTGCTTACCAGATTCCAAACACCAATGTTCACATCGAACTTTTTTACTAAAAACTTAAGTTTATCTCGGAAACTCTTTCACTGTCTTTCTTGGAGACTCTTCTCAAAACAGCTACAGTATTTTCAAATGTCAAAATTTGAAATCTGAGTCTGAGTCTCTTCTCAAAACACATGTCCAGAATTCTCAAAAGGTCCAGTATCCATTAAACACCAGGTTGGTCAGACACTTCCATTCCTCTGATGCAATCATATAACACAAGATCAGCCCTCTGTCTCTAGACAACAGATGTTTTCTAGTCACCTGCTGGCCTCCACTCTGGTTTCAAAAACTGTCTTCTTCCAACTGGCCAGGTGACTGAGGACAGCAGCTCATTCCCCACAGTCTCTCTTCATGACTGAAGAGGCTGTTCACACACAAACCTCACTCAAAACTGACAGATAGCCCAAATAAAGTCCAGGATTTCCATTTGGTTCAGAAAAGGTAAAGGATTCAGATTCACTATCAAAACGTTTGCAGAAGATAACAAAAAATACAAACACAGATGAGATATTTTTGAGGAATTCTATTAAGTATGATAATATAACATGTGAAGACTAAATGGTTTGAAATCAGTTTCTGGCCACAGTAGGGACTCAAGACTACATTTTGGGACAGGAGCTGTATTTTTGAAGGGAAGTGAAGAGTTTTCTTTTTAAATTAATCAGACAGAATATGTCAATCTTCTTTATTTGAATGTAGTTTTTTACAGATCAAAGTTAGGCTCTTTTTCTGCCTCAGTTTACAAAAGCAGGCCCACCTGTGGAAAATTATTTTATGAATGCAGTTTTCCTTTTGCGTATAGACATTTAAAAGTCAATTGTTTTCCAGGACATAATCAGGTGCTAATTAAAAAGTACCGACCACTCAAATTGTATCTGGGGGAACCACTTTCCTCTGTGTCTGTTTGTTCTGGACCCAGTAAAGTTCTTCATTGCTGACAAGCTGAGTTCAGTTTTCTGTTTCAGTTGAGATTTGACATTTTCTTTCAGCTCTCTGGCTGTCTGTTCATCTTCATCTGAAGATTTTGAAGACTTATTCAGTCGGAAATTAGGGAGTGATGTCTTAACACGTTGAGGAAAGACTACATCAAGTTATGCGTGTTGTTGAAAATAATGTACTTTAAGTTATTGGTGATGCCATGGACTGTGTGCAGATGAGGTTTAAAAAGCAGATCAATTACAGTGAAGGCATCTTTTACCGGGCCTCAAAAATGATCAGGCCAGCAGCCACATTCCAGCTGTTTAGCAAAAGCAGAGCTTTCTTCCTGCTGTTCGGCAATGGAATTATTCCTTCACGTCAGTCAGTTCATTCAAACCAAAACAGCTGGCTCATAGTGGCAACTGCAAAATAGCACCCTATGAAAGTTTTAACATAGCACCCTGGAGCAACTGTGGCTCAAACCTGATGGACAAAAACAACACTTCTGGATGATGAATACATTTTTACAGCTCTTCTAAATTTATGACACGGATATTTGTGTTAGCATCGGTATAGTTAGAGATCTACTGGATCTGCTGGAGCACCAATAAGCGAGGGGTTTCCTTGGCAACGTACAGTATTTTCAATGTACCGTGTCGGTATGCCCGGCAGCAGAGGGCGCTGCCTCGTTTGCCGAAGTATTTTCATCGCTCTTCACAATTTCTTCCCGATGGAAGTAGGTTGTTTTATGTTGTTGCCTGTTACAGAGGAGTGAGCAGGTAACTAACTTTTGATTTCGGTTTAAAATATGAGCGCTGGACAATTGAGGCGTATTTACTGCTTCAGACATTAACTAAGCAGATATACGATAATAGTGAAAAGGGAACCATGAATTCGTGTGCTTAATATCGTAGCTACAGAAGGCCAAATATATCGAGTATTAAAAGAGTATGTATTGTACCTAAATACTCAATGAATATGAACCAGCAGGTGGGTTATATGTGACATAAATGTACAAGGTATAAATAGGGATCTTTTGTCATCATTGTCAGCCATTTAGTCAATAAAATGAACCACTTCAACGAGACACAATAAAACTGCACTTTCGGTGTGTATAAGCAGTCACTGATCATTTGCTTTTTCTGGTTAATAACATAATCGTTCAAAAATTTCACAGTCGACAGTTCTTTAGCTTTATGCGTGTGCTTAAATAATGCTTAGGGGCTTGAGCACAGCGCGTTATTCTGTTATTTCTAACTAACAAGTGAATATGTTTCCTTCGGAAGACGAAGTTTAAAGACCTTGATTGTACATTTTATACATTTTATTTTTTTTGGCCACGTGTATTCCCTGTGTATAACAAAAGTGTGTGATGAGGGCACATTTATTGTTTTTTAGTATTAGTTTATTCGTTGGTCCAATTGATTTGTGTTACACCGACCCAGTCAGTAGTGTGTAATTCAATGATCTCATCTCTCAGGTGTCAGTTTCTAGGACAAGTATAAGAATCACAGTCCCAAAGGGTTCGTAGGTAATTTATAATCATGGCCAAGAAAAGAGCTGGAAACACTGACAGCAGACCAATTAAGAGAACAGATACAGTTTCCCTCAAGAACCAGGAGTGAAAATCAGTGCCTTAGAGTTCTGAGAGCGTAATGCACAGTTACCATGGGCCAGTACATGACACTGCAGAACACATCTCTCTCTGTTATATTAATGTCACGGTCCTTCTTCTAATCAGGATGTAAGATGGTGCAGCAGGATTTTAAAGGTTTAAGCAGTGAATTAACGGCGGAACATAACTTGCTTTCATCTGTGAGCGGGAGCAACCAAGGACAGTGATGCGTGCTTGTGTGCAGGTTCTGTGTGCAGGCCCTGACCATGTCCTCACCCTCTCCTGACCCGGGCAAGGCAAAGACCGAGCTGCCGAAGGAGCAGGGCTACAGAGCCCCGGGGCTGAGGGGAGTTCAGACTACCACGCTGTTCCGTGCCATCAACCCCGAGCTCTTCATCAAACCAGTAAGGGTCCCGGCGGCTGCTAGCGAGCTTTAGTGACTCGTGGCTCAGTGTTTGTTCAGGCCTGCTGAAGGATAATGAATACCAAAGAGCAAGTGATGAACGTCAAATGCTGAGTACTGTCATTGTGAGACAGAAAACATCAAGATAACACTGGTTGGAAGTGTGATAAATTTCAGTTCTTATTTGGTTAGAAATCTGCTCCCTTTAAGCGGAAGTGCCTTATCTTCATGGGACGATGTCCTGTCACTGATGATGTGGGAAGTTATGATGGACTGCTCACTTTTTTTTACTCCATCAGCTTGCACTTTCCACTGACATGAACGTGGTGATTCTGAAGTATCCGATCACCTTATGTCCATTGGGTTATAACTCAATACTGAGTTACTGTAAGTAAATGCATAGTTCCTTGCTTAAACCCTCTCATGTACTGTAGCTTGGAGATTGCTTATGAAAAGCAGTTTTCAAGCCCGTCTGCAGATTCTCAATAGGATTCAAGTCAGGAGTTTAACTTATAAAGGTCAGCTTTATAATGCTTTCTTATACTCAAGCCACTACAGTGTTGCTTTTGATTATTGTCCTTCTGAAAGGTTAATTTTTGTCCCCGGTTTAGGTTTAGCTTAAGAAGCCAGAATTTGTCTGGAGCAAGTTTCCCTGTTCGCTTCATCTCCTGACAATCTTCCCAGTCCCTGCTGATGAAAAGCAGAGCTATGACATAATGCTGCCACCACCATGCTCAACAGCAGGGATGAGGCTGACTGAGTGATGCACCATGTTGGGTTAGATTAGGGTTAGTGGACATTAGATAATGTCATGTTTTGCATTTAGACAAAAAGTTACAATTTTGTTTTGTCTGACCCAGATCCTTTTGTCACACACTTACAGTGTCATGTAGGTGCTTTGTTGCAAAATCCCATGTGAGATTCAACAGGTTTTTTTTTCAGTTCCATACAAACTCCTTTTGTGTAATGACAGGGGTATGGTTGGTCCATGGACATTTTCTCCATCACTGCCAATGAACAACAACTCTTTCAAAAAAATGAATGTTGATCATTAACCACTATTATTACTAACAGAGACAACTCAGATAATTGTGTGGTTTGTTAATGTGATTTTTTGTGAATTACCACAGCAAAGGCTTTGAATACTTATATGCCCATAACTTTTGTATTTCCAGTATCTTTCATGTTTATTTGCTTCTTGCTTTCTGTTTTTGAATGTGTGGAGTAGGTTGTGTACCATATATATTATTTGTTACTTTAAGTTGTTATGACTGCATGTTTAAAGCAAAATGTAAAAACTGAGCAAGGGTCTGAATAATTTTGCAACATGTCGGATGCTTATCCTACAGTATATGTAATGTTGTTGTTTCTAAATTACAGAACAAGCCTGTGATGGCTATTGGACTGCTCACACTCTCACTGTGTGTGGGATACCTTGGATATCTTCATGCCACCACAGAGAACAAGCAAGACTTGTACGAAGCCATTGACAGCGAAGGAACAAGACACATGAGAAGAAAATCATCCCGATGGGATTGATTATGTGCTCTGAGCATTGCTTTCTTGGGTATAATGGAACTGACCTACCAGTGTTATTTACTGTTTCAGCTGTAATGCCCAATACAACACTGGTGATAAAATAAGACGTCAAAAACTACAGTAAACAAATGCACGGAGAGTGTATAAATATGTATTTTTTGATGTGAGAGTCATTTTCAATATTCTTTTAATTTATCATGCTTGTAGTGTTATACATTTCTGATTTTCCTTCCATTGATTTTAATGCTGTTTTGTAAATCTTTTTTTTCCAGTTAAAAAGAAATATAGCCTTTAAATAAGTAAGCTGTTTAAATTTGCTTCTACTGTCTGTCATGTTTATCTAATCCTAGCAGTGTTTAAGGTTCTTAAACTCTAAGCTGAAATGTTTTTTTCAGTGTAATAAACCCAACCAATATAAATTTGTATATACCTGTACTGTATGGATTATATCCAGGGCGCCATGGTGGTGAAGTGGTCCTCTATTGGCAATCCTCTATTGGATAAAGAGTTTAGAAGATGGATGGATTTATATCCAATCTTATGAATAAGATGTATTCTCCATGCTCCTGAACACCATCTTTCTAAAGCTGTGTGAAAGGCAGCAATATACAGTACTTATACATTGTATGAATGTCAACAGAAGTACTGGACTGTGGGTCTACAGCCTGTGTTTGATTCAACATCTGAAAGGCAAAGTCCCTCTGAGACGTTTTCAGCGGATTTGGTTGAGATTACATAGATTAAAGTCTTTGCTAACATGGCCATTGACTAGTTTATACTAGAGATAAATCCTAAAACATTGGCTCTATGCAATAAAAATACTCAAAAATCATTAGAAATATATTTTGTAAAACCTTTGAACTGTAAAATTCTTGAGAAACTTCAAACAGTATATATTATTTCTGGAATACAATTATACTTTTGCGTAGTAAGGGCGGCTATTCTGATTTAATTTAAACAAAGCAAAATTAGAAACCTTTGGACAATTCTACTTACTGACTTTATGAAATGGTCAGCTAGTTAATATTCATACTGTATATCCCAACAAGTTCAGGTTTATAGTCTTACATACCCAAGTACATGCTTATTTGTGTGTTTTCCTCTCCTGACAAATGACATTACAAATAGTTGGAGACAGAAACATGGCAGTAGGTGTAATTTTAAGTATTCCAATAGCAGTGGTGTGCAAAATTCAAGTAGTGGCAATATTTTGAGTTCAGTGTAAAAACGGGGGTGTCGGTGGGGGTGTGAGGATTTAAGAAGTGCAGTTTAGGAACCTTATGGCTGTGAGTTAGAAGCTTTCTTTGAATTTAGAGGTCCGGACTTTTATACTCCTCTAAGTCTTCTGCCGAAAGATTGACTCTATTGTCAGCTCTCTGTCATGGGAAGAACATAAACAATGGGGTTCTACTGCATCACAATAGCTTCACTCCAGAACTCATTGGACACAGGAGTGGACACAGGGCTATTGTGGTGTCCTGCTACAGTACATGGCACCTCACAATCAGTCGACTCATGATCAATCAGCTTTGCTCCCTACTGAAACAACATTTGGAGAAAACAATTATCTGTGCCTGGAAATGAAAAATGAGTTTGTTAAACTAGTATCAGATTACCAATGCATTTGTAGTAATCCAGCTGGAGGGAGGCCATGTCACATACAGGAACCTGTTTCCTTAGGACTCTGCAGTCCACAGGTGTGTCAGACAGAATTATGCAGAAAGGAGGTGCTAATAATAATCTCCATCAGCAAGTTGTATGAAGAATCAAAACCCCTTGGGACACAATGTTATACCCACATCAAAATAATAGGTACAGCATACTCAGAGTATACTGCAATACAATTTAATAAGAATTTTGTCACGTGTCTTTTCCCAGCTTGCGTTGTAAGGTGTATGACACATTACTTACAGAGATTGGTGGAAAGATACACCAGCAGTACTTGAAGAAGTTTGAGAAGAGTAAAGAAGCGTGTACACGAGAAGCTGTCGTAAAAGCCTGGTCGCAGGTAAAAAGTTCACATTCAAACTGGACTAAACTACTCAAGGCTTTTCATTTTGGAATGAGGTGCATTTCTGTAGGTTATGGTCAATCAGTGTAATTAGAAAACTCTTGAGATTTTTGGCCTTCTTGCACCCAGTCCTATAGTTCTCAAATTTTTTAGTGCATTTGTATCTGATTATACTATACATAAATGCACCCTAAAATGCTATTAAACATACACCTTGACTGGTATAATAAAATAAGCCTCTTTGTGTGTTTTTTAAAAAATAGGATAGGTTTTTGTGATATATATATCTATACACAAGAACATTACTGTCCTCGGAGATAATCCTCATCCAGAAAAGTTGTGACATTCAAACCTGAGACCCAGTATTTTAACCGTCAGCAGTTCCGTTCAGTTCACTTCTTCAAAAACATCGTTAATATGCGTTGGCCCCGGCACAAGTACAGTGAAACATGAGGTATGACAAAACTGTGCAGAATATTTTATTTACTTTTTATCATCAATCGGTAATCCATGCTTGGAAACAAAATATTTTTCCGCCCAGTGCTGGGAACTCCACGGCTCTCTATGTCAACAGAGGTCATTTGCACTAACAGACAATGTATGTACAGTATACCTCAACACATTTTTACTGAGGCAAATGTGCCTTTACTTTAACGACCCCCTGACCGTGCAGTTCATTACATTTGCAAATCAGTGCCTTGTAGCATTCATTTCTTGTAAAGCGTAATTTACGTCTCTGTTGCAGTTTGTGTTTGGTTTTTATTAGAATAGCAGTAAAAAGGAACATTCTCCGCAGTCTTTGAGGTGACATTTACAGTACAACGCAGTAATCATCTTTGTGGTAGTGGTTAAGGATGCAAACATCGCTTCGCCAGCTAGGTGATCTTCACTTCACAACTGATTAACCTTTTCAAGACCAGTCCGTTTTGAACTGCGAACGGTGTGGGTTCTGCTCAGATATTAAGCGAGCAGGCGCGTAAAACAAATGAATGACGGTATTAACACATACCTGCCACGAATAACAAAAAAACATACAAGAGTTTCTTTCCCACTCTTGCGCTTCGTGAAGTACTACGCCCCCCTTGACACCGCTTTGGTCAGTCCTGGGCCCCTGCTAAGTTATAAATTGGATCTCCCCACGGGCTGTAGGTAATCCTTCAGCTGCCTGATCCTCACCGGACTGCGCGCAATATGGCGGAAACTCGAGGGCGACGCATCCTAATTATCTTCCCTTAGGGTTGCTTTGAAAACCATTTTATTTCCAAAACCTGCACGTCGGAGGGGACGAGCCGATAGTTTCTTCGTCCGTGTTCAATATAGAGGGATCGTGTAGCCTCAAACTATGGAAACCGGGTTACCTTGTGCGTGTATTGGAGAATTCACACAATGAGTAGCAACGCAACAGGTAGGGAACTTCTGTACTGGTACAGTCTAGTTACTGGTTACTCTGTATTGCCCGATTAAAACGCCCCATTTTTTTAAACGAAAAAACTCCACACAGGCGTTACAATACTTGCAGATCACACGTTTCTCATGTGCTGTTCAATTCAGTTTCTCTTTACCAGCTGCTGCTGCTGCATTATAATAAATGGCCATTTGTATCATGTTCTCTGGAATTGTCTTTCCCAAAGTTTATCATTTTCTTTAATGAAATGGCTATGATGTCTCACAAGAAATTACTTGTTTAGTAGTTATCAGTTACAGTAGTAGCTTAGTCTAATGGAGTCCAAGCACTTCCAAGCTTTTCTTTTAAAACGTCAACAGTCCAGCATCGTACTAGATTATTTTAAAGTTTAAACGTCGAATGTCCTGTTATAGCTTATGTGTGAACTTTAAGGTTTAAGTCGCCCATGTACAGAAACCGAATATATCTCCATGGAAGATATTAAAAAGCGGTTTCCTAGTGGTGCTAGAGGTGTTCTGTGCTCCACAATTGCTTATGAAATACGTTGACCATTAGGTCTAGCTAACATTTCGGTCCTGGGGTGGAAGTTCATGTGTAAAACCGTATAATAGTGTTACGATAAGGGTCATCATATACTGTACACTTAGATTGACTGTGAATTAGACAGACTTGTGACTTAACATTGAGACATTTACTTCACTTTGAACAATTTTGTTCACAGTCTGGGTGCAGCGTACTTTTTAAACCCCTCTCGTATTTCTGATCATGAGCTGAAAAGTTAACCGTCTAGAAACCGCATTTGTAGTGAAACGTGTCGTTTTGGTTTGGGGGTTTAGCCAAATTGAAATGCAGTCTTTTCATTTTATTCATTGACAAGGACACCTATTTCAGCTAACTTCACGAGGAAGTGGAATAGCTGGAATTCCTGCTTGGAGCTAAAACAGCAAACAGTAAAAAAGGAGGTTGGCGCTGCTTCATAAATTTCTCCTTTTCCCCGCACAGGAATCCAGGGATCTTCTCCCTGTTTGCAACTGCCTGCAGATCAGGTTTTAAACTCGGGAGCGGTCATATTTCACGGTAAAAACGTCAAAAATAAATTTTCTATATCAGTTACATTAAAAAGAAAACTCTTCTCTGCCTGGCTCCAGTGAAACCTGGTGTTGGGGAATGAATCAGACCGCAACCCCATCTTGGTAGGGTTCTGAGAGAATTGTTTAGAGCAAGGGGACGTTTAGGTGTTTGTATACACGTTACTGCAGTCGTAGTCTCGTTTTATTTTCTGTTCATGTTTCTGCTGCAGAATCACCTGTAAAACAGGCATCAGACAATACAAATGGGAAACTGAGGAAGTAGTGTACTTTTAAAACCCCAAACAGGGAGGCACTCTTTTACACAGGGTTGTGGGAGTGTTTTGTGGTGCAAGAGGCACAGCATTGTCCTCAGAGCTGACAAATGGTTACTAGGAACTAAATGAGCACAATGGCGCAAATGTTTTGATGGCGCTGGTTTTCTTGTGCATTAAGATCTTTCCTTTTTTTTTTCCAGGTGGCTTTGATCAACAAGGATGCCCACTTGTCGTATTTCCTGCCGAAGAGCAGAGCAAATTAACTACTGATCTCGCGAAAGAAGACGTTGTCAGTTTCATAAAATATTTCCTGTATCTGCATAAGTAAGCAGCATGAATGCTTTTCAGTCTTCACTCTGCCTTTGGAACAGGGAATATCACGCTGAGACCTCTGTTCCCTGAGCACCACTGATTTTGTTCGCCTCTGATTTTTACCTGCTAGCTCTAATTTGAAGTCAGACCTGGTTTGTTGGTCGTAGTTGCTAATTGAAAGGAATCTGACCCTCAGCGACTGGTGTCCTCCTTCCTCTAGCTTTCTAGAAAATGTCTGAAAATGGTTGCTTAAAATGCGAGCTTGTACCATGTGTTCTCCCTGTGTTTTCTGTGTGGGTTTTCTCTGTGTGCTCTGGTTTCCTCCCACAGTTCAAAAACATACTGATAGCCTAGTTGGCTTCTGGGAAAATTGGCCCTGTGTGTGTGCTTTGTGATGAACTGGTGTCCTGCCCAGGGCGTACCCTGCCTCGCGCCCATTTCTTTGCTGGGATGCAGCTGCCCTGCGATCCTGAATTGGCAGAAGTGTTTAGAAAGGGGACGGATGGGTTGCGCAGAATGCAGTTGGAGGGGTTAGGCTCGGTTGTGGCAATATCTGCCTCGTTTTTACATTGTGTAGGGAAATAGCTGCCTCCAAAGTGTTGCTGATCACTTGTTGTGCAGTTGTGCAGACAGAATGAATGAGTACTGTAAATGTTTTTGTTTTCCAGTAAATACCAGGAGAAGGAAAGTTTGATTTCGGTGGTGCTCGATCTCCGTCAAGCTACGCTAACGGCAGCAAAGTCTATTGGGGAAGCCCTCTTGCTGCTTGAGGTAAACATCGTTGTTTAATTGCACTTAAACTATGCCAGCAGCCATATCACCCTGCAACTCACAACTGGCAATCCACTGAATCTAAGCAGGTGTGAGCCTGGTCAGTACCTGGATGGGAGACCTCCTGGGAAAAACTAAGGTTGCTGCTGGAAGAGGTGTTAGTGGGGCCAGCGGGGGGCGCTCACCCTGTGGTCCATGTGGGTCCTAATGCCCCAGTATAGTGACGGGGACACTATACTGTAAACAGGCGCCGTCCTTCGGATGAGACGTAAAACCGAGGTCCTGACTCTCTGTGGTCATTAAAAATCCCAGGGCGCTTCTCGAAAAGAGTAGGGGTGTAACCCCGGTGTCCTGGCCAAATTTCCAATTGGCCCTTACTAATCATGGCCTCCTAATAATCCCCCTCTATGAATTGGCTACATTACTCTGCTCTCCTCCCCACTGATAGCTGGTGTGTGGTGAGCGTTCTGGCGCACTATGGCTGCCGTCGCATCATCCAGGTGGATGCTGCACATTGGTGGTGGTGGTGGAGGGGAGTCCCCATTACCTGTAAAGCGCTTTGAGTGGAGTGTCCAGAAAAGCGCTATATAAGTGTAAGCAATTATTATTATTATTATTATTATTATTATTATTATTATTAAACTCGCAGGTGACCATATGCTTAACCAAGGCTGTCTGGCTTTGAGTTAGGGAAACAGTGCATCTGCTCGCTTTTGTCTTTTATATTCAGCTTTCACATTTTGAGCTTTCTAAGCTTTTACTAGGCTAATAAGTGGAACAAACTTCTCTTGGGCATAATTTTTAAAATTTCAGTAACTTAAGGTCTATACTTTCTCATTTTTGAGAATTATTATTGTAAATTGAAGAAAACTGCCAAAAGTTGTTTTTTTAGTGGTTACAGAATACTAACATTTCTTTTCATCACGTTTCTTTTAAAGCAATGTAAGAGGACCATTAAGACAATATATGTAATCCAGTCCAAAAAGAAGGATGTACATAAACATCTTTTAAAAGTGTTAGGCCTGAGTCCCTCCAAGAAATACAACTCAGCTCCCTATAAGGTAAGATGCCTATTTGAATATAGAGCATGAGTTCTGCAGTGTCTGATGTGTAATTTTAAGTTTTTGAAAGTTTCTTCCACAATGGAGTTTAGTACTAAATACATTTAATTACGTCCATGAATGAATGTCAAGTGTTTTTGTTTCTTGCAACAGTGTGTTCTCCTGAAAGAGGTCTGTGAGCTGTATAATTACATTGACCGCAGCCAGTTAACTGCTGCTCTTGGTGGTTACCTGGTTTATTGCCACAGAAGTTGGGTGCAGTTCATCAAGGTAGGATTTATTTAACTACTGAATTTCTAAGATAGTGTATGACTTCAGTGTAGTCGCATTGCTGCTCTGGATGTTTTTGTGTAGTCGTGAATTTCATTTCAGCTTACCTGTTTTCGCATTTGAATTCAAAGAAGTGAGTGGTCTTTTTGTCCTTGCAAATATTTGTGCATTTTATGTCTAATGTCTAGTTCCTGAGAATTAGTCTGTCCTGCACTTAGTTTTATTTGAATGAACTGCTTGTTTTTGGTTAGAAAAAAATTGATTAGTGGTAACTGTTAATCAATTTGGGATGGTCCTATGGCTTGGTACAGCTTAAAAGTAGTAAAAGGTAGTTCTTGAAATTACAGCAGTTTCATACATTTAAGACGTAAGCAGTTGTTTCATAAAACTGAGTGTAAATAGTGGTACCATCAAACGAGCAGGTTCCACTTTCAATTGAAGTTGTATTGTGTTTTTTAGACTACTTCCAAATTAGTTGAACTATTCCAGTTAAAATGACTTCCAAAGACTATTAAGGAAGCGTAAAGAGGAAAGAAAACATTTGTAGTCATGAGCAGTATTCCAATTCTGTTTTTTATGGGCATTTTGTGAATGGAGTTGTTGAAAGTTAGGGATTCGTTTGGGAAGCCGATGTTATGACAAACGGAAGGAACGAGTCAAAGGACTTGTACTTTGTAGTCCGAAGGCCCCTTATTCCATTCAAGTCTCTCCTAACCTTTATGAAGCCGTTACTTACATTTAGTTCTTTTGCATGTTCCTCCAATGTTATGAGGCTTCTGGTGTTCTTTACAGATCACAGGATTTTCTGTGCGCTGTGGCTTTAAAGCGTCATCTCATGACTTCCCCAGCTGTGGGGAATGTTCCATTTGTAGCTCCATTCATGAATTGATGCAATGCTGTTCCAGCCTTTTGTCTGTTACCAAGGAGAAGCCTGCGTAGCGCTGAAAGGAATTCATCTGACCTCATTAACAACTGAAAAGGCGGTTCTGTTCATTTGGTTTCATCATATTCAGTAATGCTCTGAGGTGCACTTAAAAAGCATCATTGCTAGGGTTTCAAATTGTACACATTTTACCGAGATGTGACTCAGTGTTCAGGTGACCATTTTTGGTTATTGAAGGTGCAGGGATTTTACAGCAGTGGAATAGAGGAAATCCTTTTCTCTGTGGGTTTGGACAGAAACAGGTTTACACTTGGATTCTGCTCGTTGCCAAGATGAGTAAATTCTGACGTTCACCAAAATGGCTTCGTGTTCATTTCAAAGGTCTTGGTAATGTTTTGCTATGGATATAAGCTGTGTCATAGTTGTGTAAGGCAGGTTAGGAAAGAATATATGGTTGACTACATGCACTGAAAATGGTTCAGTATAACTGTTTTTGTTCAATTCTTATTGAATTTGAACTTTATTGCCATATGTAACCGGTACATGTACTGGTACAATGGAATTCTTACAGAAAGTCTCAATTGTTAAAACAAGTGTAAAAACAAAGTGCAGACAGTGCATCAAGACAATATGGCAAAGTTTATTTTTTAAAAAAAGAGTTGAATTATACATGTTTTTTTCCTCCCACTGTAGGAAATCGACGCTTTTGTCAAGGAGTTTTTTTCAGTTGTGCATAGGCTGCCATCCTATATAGCTGCCATCCAGGAGTTATCTCAGCAGGAAGTTCCTCGTGGGTTCGAGGAGCTCCGACTGTACTGCTCCAGAAACGAGGCCCGGTTTCAGGCACTGAGGAGGTGAGCAGGTCCCTGAAGGAGAACCTGTGCATTTTTTATATGAATGAGGAAGGGTCGTTGCACAAACCTTTCATGGGTGTTGTAAGCACGGGTTTTTTTCAGAGCCCTCTGTACTGTACTTTCACTCGGAAGGGTAAGATTTCACAGCTCCTGTTACAAGGCCCGTGAATTATTTCCGCTCGGATCGTATTCCTGCGGCAGTTGTGTCCTGTTCACTTGTTTTCCTTGTTGTGACTTTAAGTGCTTCAAGGGTACAACTTAAAGTTCAGTGCTTCACCCCCCCAATTTGACAAGTCCTTTAAAAATGGAAAGGTTTGAAAATTAGCCACTTAGTTTCTTTTAATGCTTGTTTTTACAAGAACAATTTGGCGTTTGTCAATTCTGCTATTTAGCTGCTGAATGGTTTGCATTTGTTGGATTTTAAATGGTTTAATACTGCTCAATCGGCCATGTTTGTTTGTTTTGACTAATGACGTGCCTTGGTAAATGTAAGTGGTGGAGTTCACATCAGGAGCTGCTCCGAACCCGAGCACCGAAGGGGTTTTTCTTTCTTCCCTGTGAACGCCAGGGATCTCGGCCTCGATGAGTTACTGCAGCACTGCAAGCAGATAGTGGACAAACTGCGGTTTCCAGAGAATGAGCCCTGCTACCAGGCCATGGCCGGGACCGCCCTGTTCACCCAGACCGCCTACGAGATGCTGGAGAACTATAGCAGGTGCAGCTGCCGGTTTGGTGCCTTCGTCTTGTCTGGAAGCCTGGCAACCAGTGTCTCGCTTACAAAGAGCCTTGTTTTGTGAGATTTTAAAACCTACAACTGGCTTTAACATTTAATGAGTATTGTGTGCTTTTAATTTTTCTTCAGCGGTAATCGGTTGAGTGTAAGGGTGACGAAGGGTGGATTTGGTTACGGTTGTTCCAATTTAACATGCGGTGAGTTGTACCACAGTATGTACGGTACATTGCAGATTCATTTTCCTCTGCACCCAAGTGAAGTTGGTTCGCTCTGGGGGGCAAGAGCTTGTTTGCAATGTGTCAGTCGGGGGAGGGGGGAATTTAGAGGAGTGGATGGGAGGCTTCAACAGCCACAGAGCCAGGCCACATCCCACACTGGACTCCTGCTTGTGCTCCTTTAGGGAAGCAGGTTTATCTTTATGCTCGCTGTCTTTATAGGATAACGGCTGCGGTGGAGAAGGTGGAGTTACTGTGGCAGCAGGCTCTGTCCAAGGCCCAGCTTCAGCTGGCGAGACTTCAGCGCAAGAGTGAAGCCCTGCAGGTACAGCCCGGCCTTTTCCTGTGGGGTCAAAACGTCTTGGCGCCAGTGTGGTTTTCCCAAAACTTAAACCAGGATTGTTTTTACTCCTCTTTTTAAGTATTACATTTAAGCTGCTTTATTCAATTAAATTCAATGTATTTTTATATAGCGCCTTTCACAACAGGGTTGCCCAAAGGCACTTAAGCTGTGTGACAATACACAACGTTACAAGACAGAAAGGCCAGGTGACAACGGAGGAGAGGAACCAAAAACTCCTCAGTAAGGAGGAAAAAAAAACCCTCTAGCAGTCCAAGGTCAACTGGCTGCCCAACCCCTCTGGGCATGCTAACATCATACAATTTACTATTTGCAGTGACGGTACACTGAGAATTAGGTTTGTTTCATTGTCCAAATGTTTCTTCCCCCCCTTCTCAAACAGATCACGGAACAAATTCGGAAAGAAATGGAGAATCTGCAGTCCTACAGGGTTGAGGTAGCTAAAGATGCTACCAAAGCAGAGATTTTCAAGTCTGAGTTTGAGGCCACAATCTATAATCCTGGTTTGGTAAGTGACTCCCCTACCACACACACACTTGTCTCAACACCTTTTTGTCCTCAGTCACTTGGCTTAAATGAATTTCATCGTTATGGCTTGGTCTTGAACCCAGGAGTGTGCAACTCCGCTGCTGTGGCTCAGAGGCGTGCTGCGGGACTTGGCTACATCACAGACGCTCTCTGTTCGCAGGCCCTGCTTCAGCGTGCCGATGTGCTGCAGACACTCATTGAAACCACAGTGCTCAGGGAAGGACAGAGCCAAGAGGGCTGGGCTGAAGAGTTGTACAGGGTGAAAGAAAGCTTCCGTGCTGCTGTTGAACTACCCCGACAGACCCTCAGAGCAGTGTCTGACTTTCACTACTATTTTAATAAAGTACGTGTCTCGATTTAAGCCTCACTTTGGGTTTTCTGTTTTATCTGCCATGAAAACATCCTCTTTTGAAACGTTACAGGCCATTTACTTGTGTTAACCTTGTATTTAAGTGTGCACACTGGATCAGCCGTTGTAAGAAGGCGAGGGTCATTGACTGCTGGTTCAGGCACTTACTTTCCCCAGACATATCAATTTCTGTACTGTGACTTGTGGAAGGAAGTATTTTGCTGCCATTGAAGTCTGTTTGTGCATATGATGTATAAAATCAGTTGAATGGTGGTTTAAAATGACTTAATAAAAGTAAAGAATGAAAGCTCAGCATTATGAATATTTTATTAGCAACACGTAAATATTTTCGTGTTAAGTCACCTCATTGCTGCTGAGGATCAGGACTGCCAGCTTTTTGTATTGAAGGGCCTGTTTAAGACGAGGCGTGCTGTGATGTGTATATTTCAGCGTTCATCTTTTCTGTCCTCCCCCAACAGGCCAAGAGGTGGCACAGCGCAGTCCTGTCTCAGAATTTCTTTCACGAGCCCTTGTGGAGCGGAGCCGGAGCCCGAGCCCGAGCCAGCATGGCGGCGTGGGAACGGGAGGTGGGCGATTTCCTGAGGCGCAACCCCGCGCCGGAGATAGAGGAGCTGGTTCAGCTGGCGCACCTGTGCGACGCCATTCCCGATGTCCTCCCGCGGCAGTCGGGAAAGCAGATCGCTCAGCGGTGAGACTTCTTTCTTCCTTCCGTCTTGCAGTTCCCCCTTCGCAATTAGGGATTTTAGATGAAATTCCAAAATCCTACATAGAAAAATATCCATTGTGCTTTCACATCAAGCTCAAGTGTCTGGATTCCTTATAAATTCGTACCCTTTTTAACTCTCCTCCTAGATGCATGCTTCTGCGGAAACTGCTGACCTCCCCAGGAGCCATCGCTGTGCATGACCTACAGCTGGCCCTTCAGTGGCAGCTGCAGTTTCTGAAGAGCACTGAAGTATTGCCCCCTCAGTGCGGTGAAAAGGCGGGCGCTGAGGGTTTTGAAGGACTGGACAAGAAAATCCCCACCGCAGAGAACACCTGTGGTTCCTTCGAGGCCTGTGGGGACACCGGATCGACCGATGTGCACTCTGGGGGAAACGTCCCCACCAAAGCCATTTCTCAGAGTGATATCAGCTTGGACAAGTGGGAGCCAGGAAAGGGACTCTTAAGGCAAAATTTCCCGAGCACCGCCACAGGCACCTTGGCTGTGTCTGGGAAGCCACCTTCGCTGTGCTCTTTTGACTCGGGGTTTGATGGAGCTGGAAGCTGCCATCTTGACGGTGCTGTGAGGGAGAGCTGGGAAGTGCCCCACAGGCCCCAGGGGGTCAGAGAATTCTCTAGATCGGCTGCGAGCCAGCCCCACGTTCGTGAAGACCTTTTGAGCGTTTCCGACTCGGAGGACTGCAAGGGGGAGGACGACGACGGCGGCGGGAGGAGATCGCTGGCCAGAATCCAGATCGTTCCAAGGGTTCTGGTTGACTCTCTGAATTTTGAAGTCAAGGTGAAGCGATCTGCCAGCCGGCCTAAAAACCCGTGGCTGAGCCTTCCCCTTGAGGACCTGGAGAATTCTTACACTGTGACCATCACGCCAAAAAGGCCAGAGGAGGCAGACCAAAACGAGTCTCCTGGTCCTCCTGCATCGCGGATATCCGAGGCGCTGGAGGCTTGTGGGAAATTGAAAGACCAGCTAACTCAAACCGAGAGTCCTGTCTGCGATGTGCCCTCTGGAGGAGAAGGGGCTTTCACGGAGTGTGGAATTCAGATGGAGGAAAAAGCCGGAGTCCTTCAGGGCCTCCTGCCTAGCTCCTCTGCACTGAGCCCGATTTGCTGTGCTCTCTCAAGTACCCTGAATGACAGCCTGGACCAACTGAACTTATCTGCCGACAGAACTCTGCTCTGGGACACCTATGACCTTCACACCACCACACCCAAAGCAGACGGCCATCATCAGAGGTGTGGCTTTTAAAACCAATCACTGGCCCTTGGCTGCAGTCTTTCCAAAGTGTAAAGTCTTAGACTGCTAAATTTCTACTGACATTTCATACCAGGCTTGTGCAAAGTGACATTTAGTGGTATTTGGTTGCTTTCCCATCTTCTTTGTAATGGTGTTTAAATAGTTACAGTAATGGTTATGCCAGTATAGATAGTGTAGTATAGGACGATTGGAGGGCTGTTATTTAACTAACACTGATTAATAATAATTTTAATAATTGCTTACACTTATATAGTGCTTTTCTGGACACTCCATTCAAAGCGCTTTACAGGTAATGGGGACCCCCCTCAACAACAACCAATGTGCAGCCCCACCTGGATGATGCAACGGCAGCCATAGTGCACCAGAACACTCACCACACATCAGCTGTCAGTGGGGAGGAGAGCAGAGTAATGTAGCCAATTCATAGAGGGGGATTATTAGGAGGCCATGATTGATAAGGGCCAATGGGAAATTTGGCCAGGACGCCGGGGTTACACCCCTACTTTTTTCGAGAAGCACCCTGGGATTTTTAATGACCACAGAGAGTCAGGACCTCGGTTTTACGGCTCATCCGAAGGACGGTGCCTTTTTACAGTATAGTGTCCCCGTCACTATACTGGGGCATTAGGACCCACATGGACCACAGGGTGAGCGCCCCCTGCTGGCCCCACTAACACCTCTTCCAGCAGCAACCTTGGTTTATCCTAGGAGTTCTCCCATCCAGGTACTGACCAGGCTCACACCTGCTTAGCTTCAGTGGGTTGCCAGTTGTGAGTTGCAGGGTGATATGGCTGCTGGAGATTACATCTTCATTGAGGCATAATGGGATTTAAGCATAGTGACAGTGTCCTTAGGCAGGGGCCTTCATATCTGGTTCAACCAAACAATTTGGACACGAGTTTGTTTTGGAACCCAAGTATCCTGTGTTCTGGCCTCTGTGGTATATTTGTTTTGCATCACGGTGCATTCCAGGTGAAATGCGTAGGATTTACTGATAGGGAGTGATGCTATATTAAGACAGAGCCCTCGTCCAGATCTCCCTCAAAGTCAGGTAGTGTGAAATTTAACGAGTTTCACAAGCAACAGAAGCCCAACTATCGGACTAATTAAAGATAATTCTTTCAATTTTTTACAAATGTTGTTCCACACCTCTGAGGGCTAGTACAGAGGAACCTGTAAACTCCTTTTACATCTGTGGCTTAAAAAACAAAACCCAAACATAACCTAGTCAATTGAAAGGCCACATTCAAATGAGTAATTTTCTGAAGATCCGGAAGTGCCTTTGTAAAGGTAAGAGGCACAGAAATGTTGGTCAGTCCTGATATTTTAGTTCTGGATGAACGTCTCGGGTAGAAAAAACTTGTGCCTGCATATTGATTCTGCTCCAGCCCCCCCCCCCACCTTACCCCCAGTGTCTGTGTGATACAATACTCAGTGCTTGTGCTGAAATGGCTCCTTACGTACAGCAGTGGCTGTTCTGAGTGTTTGTTTTGCTGTTGAATTGGTCTTGGGCAGTATGACCATTGTCAGCACCTTTCACACTTTGGTTCACTTGGGGGGGGGATGCCATCGTCTACCTCAACTGTGTAAATGTAACTGTCTGCTGGTGTGTGTTGCTGTGTTGAAGGTTCCCCAAAGTAAACCTGAAACTGCTATTTAATTTTGGGGGGTTGGGAAAGCAGCATTTGAGTTCAATGTGCTGATGGATCTTCATAAGTTCTGAAAGTCCCCCAGGGAAGAGGTTTGTACTACAGCGTCCCATACCACACGGCAAAGAACAGAAGAGCATTAGATAGAGCAGATGAATGCTGCTCACTCTGTGAATTGATAAAATCCGGTTTCCGTTTGGGAATGGCTTTGGCTAAAGTAGTAAATCCTGGAGTTACTTATGTGGAATCTCCTTAGGTGGTGGAATCCCGTGGCTGATGAGCACTCCTTCAGCGACTGGGACCTGAAAGAGCAGGAGAGCCTCAGGGAGGTGGAGAAAACCCTCCACCGGGCAGCTGGCATTCTGGAGGCTAGTGTATTTAGCTCTGTTTAAGCAGCAGTGTGAAAACAGGAGGATGGGGTGTGAGCGCAATGCGTTTTGAAATGATCCTTAAGAGATGTGCAGTAAATTCTTATCTCCAACTCGATACAGCTTTCTTTAGTATACAGATACTGTACATGTAAGGCAAAACTTAAAATGGTGTGCTTAAATTTCAGTTTAAATGTGTAAAATGTTTTTTTTTTAATTATGTTTAGTTTTGCAGTTTGAGAAGCTTATAAAAACCCCTGGAATAATGTCCTTAATTCTTAAATCTCCATGAAATAGCACGTTGGAATAACATCCAAGATATCAGACGAAAAGATGCTATTTTCCATTAAAGTGACCCAAGATAATCTTTTTAGTAGAAGCCAGCCAATAGCTTAGTACTGGTGAAGCTTGTTTTGCTTCCTTGAAGGCATGTCAGTGTTATTTAACCATTGCGAGGATATTAGCAGATGTTACAGCAGTATGCTCTTGAATATACAGTAGGTATCTGGCGAGCAGTGTGTGAGGTGTTACAGTAGACAGGCACGTTGTGGGTAATGGTTTTTACCCTTGTAATGTGTGCCAACACTAGGAAGAAGAGAGCGTGCTGAAGCAAGAGGAGATGCTGGACCTCTTGGTGAAGACGGAGAGCTCCAGCAAGCAGTGGGCATTGTGGGGCAGTGAAGACCGGCTAAACGTGGTAGGGTTTATAGTTCGCACTGCTCTTCTGAAGTGTGGTGTAAGCTCCGCATACCCTAGGCTACTTTTCTAATAGATGCATAAGTGTTTTGTCATTAGTCAGGTCTGATTTAATGACTCCCCCATGTGTGTTTGAGGGAGAAATCATTAGGACGTTGGGTCAAAGACGTTTCACATTGGACTGCAAGTGTGTAAGAACTAGAGAGACCACTGCTGACTCGTAAAACAATAACTGCTTTCTGAAGACGCACGGGCTATCCGCATGTTAGGCAAGGCCTTTCCCTAGGTATTGTGATTTTAAAGTTAACCATAGGATGCTTTCAACCTATTTACTGACGCGTTCCTTTTAGTCCAGTTCATGCTGCTTCCATGTTCTGTTGTGGTTTAAAAGAGGTGTGGAGTGGCCAGCCCTGGCCCTTCAGAGCCACAGTCCAGCAGGCTTCACGGATCACCCTTAAGATGAAGTGTTCTAAGCCCTTGGAACAATCTGGTTTGACCTCTTAAGTGGCGATCGTTTGAGGTGCAAAAATACCACCTCCCTTTTGCTCTCAAGGACCACGGTTGGTCCTTGCTGAGCTAGTTTAGTATTAAATTGATCAAAGCTTGCATGTTCCTGGCCTTTACATGTTGACTGTGGCTCTGTAGGTCAAGGATTGGTCATCTGCAGTGTCATGCCTTCAATATGCATAGCGAGAACTCTCAGTACAGGTATAGTTTGCTGGAGAGGTTTTTGCTTTGGCCAGCATGTATTAGATACCAGTGAGAGGCTGGACACGTTTGGTCTGAGAACATCTCGTGCTTTGTCTCATGGGATGTGAATTGTCAGTGTGACAGCTGCTTTACTTCTTTCCCAGACACCGATGACCTCCACTGAGCTGGCAGAAGCAGGCGTTCTTGGCATGGAGGGCTGCCCCCTGCCTGTCACCACCGACCCCGAGTTTCTGCACAGCCCACCTGGCACTACCATCCAGAGGAATGGTGCAGCGGGTCTCAGCCCAAAGAACAGTACAGAAGCCAGTATGGGCTTGGCGGGGAGTCGAGGACTGTCCAGCCGCTCCAGTAGTTCTGGTTTGCTCGAAGAGCTTAAAGGCCTGCACATCATTGACGAGCAGATTTTTGAAGAGAACCTCAAACTAATTGAGCTGAGGCGCTCCGAGGAAGAGGAGCTGTGGAATGAAAGGCACTGCTCCCAGGAAGGTTCACGCAGGCCAAGGCCGGAGAGGGATACATTCTTGGTAGAACTGGAAAAGGAGAAACGCGAGGTGGAAGAGATGGAGAAGAGTCTCGACAGTGAGAGAGCTCAGAAATCCAAACCGAAGCACAGATCAGGTCGGGGCTCTAAGCCTGCCTGCAGCAGTTCGCAGTGGTCGAAACCCCCAGAAGATAAAACACTTCAGAATCAAGTTCTAGTTGCATCATGCTGTAAGGACAAGGACAAGCCCCATGACATTGTACATACTGACTCTCGTCTCCCAGAGGACAGTGCTGACACTGCCTGTCGCATCACAGAGAAGACTTTATCACATAGCGACCAAAATCACACTGATAAACCAGATAAATCTAATGATAAACCAGTGAAGCTGAGCTGCATAACAGATTCAGAGACCTCTTTTAATTATGTCAATGAAGCTAGTGTTAGCAGACATGCTCATGGAGAGATGCTCCAAGGGCAAGCACTTCCCTTAAGCTCTGTTTCGTATAGTGCAGTCAGTCCTGAAAGTTTGAAGAGAAAAGTCATGGCTGATGCGACGTGTAAACCAGCTTGTAATTCAGCTGAGATCTCAGTTGTCAAATTGTCTGACAGCTTTAGAAATGAGACATTCAATACTTTAGATGACTGCACAAGAGAGGGCGAGATTGAGAACAGTGGTTTAAGCACACCAGGAACTGACAGCCTGATTTATCTCAGTGTTGAGAGAAGAAGCAGTCTTGTAAAAGAGGATAAGAGTACAGATGCAGTTTTTGTACCACCTGTAGGAAGTGATGGATTTGACCCTGGTGGCATCATCAATAAGACTCCAGTACCAAAACCAAGACGAGTGTCTCTACAACCGAAAGCTGAACAAAGTCTGCTGAACATATACTTAGAGGATCACAGTGGTGAGACTGATCAGGTTTCCCTGGTTGCTGATAGAGATAATGATGTATCTGCTGAGGCAGCAAAGGCTCAAACACGCAAGGAACCTCCAAAACCAAGGGAAAGGAGGACCGTTAAGCAGCTTGAAAAGCCTGATGTTGGTTCACTTGGAAGAAAACCCAGCGGTGATCAAGCAACTGCAACAGAAGGAAGCCCAGCTTCAGAGGTCGCTCCTCGAGATGTGGGACTGGGAAATATGAAGGCCTCTTCCACAAAAACAGCATCTAGACCTGCTCCTTTGGAGGCCGAATTAGATTCTGATGCTGCTCTCAACTGTGATGTAAAATGTCCTTCTACAGCGCTGAGCGGGGAGAAGTGTTTATATCTTGAATCTAATGACATCGACGGAGGAACCTTATCTCCGATGAATGCTTCGGCTGAAGCAAGGGAGCCCGGAGACCAGCGCAGCCCAGAACTTGAATGTTTGACACACTACAGTGCTACTGCAGTTTCCTCTGCTTGCCGGCTCCCTTTCAATGAACAGCATTTTGAGCTAACTACAGTAGAGGTAAATGCCAGTTAAGTCTATAAATGACATTCCTGGGCCTCTGCTTCTAATAGTTATACAAGTTTTAAATACATTTTCCTTAGTGGAAAACCTCAGATCTTGTACAGTTGATCGATTTCGCTAGTGGCGTGTATACTGGGGCCTCTTGCTGTGATCCAACTTTTCAGAAACCAAACTGATAACTGAAAAGAAGCACATTGCGGACTTTCCTTATTTTTTTGGGGGGGGGTTGTAAATTTCACAGTTGATGAAAACAAGTGCTCTAGTATACCTTGTATAATGCAGGTTCTTGCTTAAATTCATAGGTTGATGACTTTAAGACCCCCATTGTATTAGATACTGGTTCAAGCCTCATGAAAGCCGGCTTTGCTGACCAAGATTTGCCGACTACCATATTCCCCACAGTCATTGGGTGGCCTAAATACGAGGTAAGAGATTTTCTGTTTGGGTGATTGTTGTACAAGGAATATCAGTTTGTCACTCAGCACTATGCATACTTGTTTAAACTGAACTTTGACACATTTATTGTAGAAATAGGACTTCCCCATGCATAGAAAATGTCTTATCCTTTGGTAGGATAGACCTATTAAGCCACAAGCCAGCTGGTTACCCCAGACTGACTTTCCTAGTAATTACCATTCAAGTTCAGATTATTCAGGTCTTTAAGCAGTAAAGAGGCAGATTGAACTACAGTTTCTAGGGCTTAATGAGACATTTTGTGCATGTCTGATGAATTAATTGAAGGGAGAAATGGCTCTCTTGTTAGAGGTAATGAGATTGGCCTTTGGCAGTGGCTTGGTTGCAGTGTCTGGCTAACAGTGAAGTCTTTCCAGTTCAGTTGCCCATTTAAAATTCTTTGTGGGAAAGAGGATTAGCTCCACAGGACTGGCAGGC